AAAAGAACTATCCAACACATGATTTAGAACTTGCAGCAGTGGTATTTGCATTAAAACTTTGGCGTCGATATTTATATGGGATCCATGTTGATATATTCACGGACCATAAGAGCCTTCAATATATTTTCAAGCAGAAGGAATTGAATCTGAGGCAGAGAAGATGGCTTGAGTTACTTAAGGACTACGACATCGATATTCTATATCATCCGAGAAAGGCCAGTATTGTGGCTGATGCTCTTAGTAGGAAATCTATGGGTAGTTTGGCTCACTTGGAGGCATATCAGAAGCCATTAGCCAAGGAAGTTCATCGATTGGATAGTTTGCGAGTTCGTCTTACGGACTCTAGTGAAGGAAGGGTAATTGTGCGAAATAGGGCTGAATCATCGCTTGTTGTGGAAGTTAAAGAGAAACAATAAAACGATCCATTGTTGGTGCAATTGAAAGAGGGGATTCATAAACATAAGACCATGGCCTTTTCTCTTGGCATGGATGATGGTACACTAAGGTACCAAGGNACTCTGGTGAAGGAGGGGTAATTGTGCAAAATAGGTCTGAATCATCGCTTGTTGTGGAAGTCAAAGAGAAGCAATAAAACGATCCATTGTTGGTGCAATTGAAAGAGGGGATTCATAAACATAAGACCATGGCCTTTTCTTTTGGCATGGATGATGGTACACTAAGGTACCAAGGGCGACTATGTGTTCCAAATGTGGATGGTCTTCGGGAAAGAATTATGACTGAAGCTCACACTTCTAGGTATTCCGTGCACCCAGGTTCTACGAAAATATATCATGATCTTAAGGAAGTCTATTGGTGGAATGATATGAAGAGGAATGTGGCGGACTTTGTAGCAAGATGTCCGAACTGTCAGCAAGTGAAGGCCGAACACTAAAGGCCCGATGGGTTGGCACAGAACATAGAAATTCCAATGTGGAAATGGAAAATGATTAATATGGACTTTGTGGTAGGATTACCGCGCACTCCGCGCAAGTTTGACTCAATTTGGGTGATTGCGGATCGACTCACGAAATCAGCACACTTTTTGCCGGTTAAGTCTTCCGACACAGTGAAGCAGTATGCTCAGTTGTATATTAAAGAAATAGTCAGGTTGCATGGCACCCCAGTTTCCATCATTTCTGATCAGGAGGACCAATTCACTGCTAATTTTTGGAAGAAATTTTAGCAAGGTTTTGGGTACTCAAGTAAATCTTAGTACAACCTTTCACCCGCAGACTGACAGGCAGGCAGAGCGGACTATTCATATGCTTGAGGATATGTTGCGCGCTTGTGTTATAGACTTCAAAGGTAGATGGGATGATCATTTACCACTCATAGAATTTGCCTACAACAATAGCTATCACACTAGCATTCAAATGGCATCGTTCGAGGCTTTATATGGTAGGAGATGTAGATCTCCCATTGGGTGGTTCGCAATTGGGAAAGCAAAGTTGATAGGGCCAGACCTCGTGCATCAGGCTATGGAAAAAGTTAAAATTATTAAGGAGCTGTTGAAGATTGCTCAGAGTATTCAGAAATCCTATTCAGATATTCGTCGTAGAGATTTGGAATTCAAAAAAGATAATTGGGTATTTTTGAAAGTTTCCCCCATGAAGGGTGTAATGCGATTTGGTAAGAAAGGAAAATTGAGTCCGAGGTATGTCGGACCGTACAAAATCATTCAGAGGATCGTTGAGGTAGCATACAAGCTTGAGCTACCACTTGAGATGTCATTAGTACACCCGGTGTTTTATGTGTCTATGTTAAAGAAAGTAGTTGGAGACCCGACAGTCATTGTTCCGGTTGAGACTATTGAGGTAAATGAAGAATTGACTTATGAAGAGATTCCAATTTCTATTATTGATCGGCAAGTTCGAATGTTGAGAAACAAAGAAATTGCATCCGTGAAAGTGCTATGGTGAAACCAACAGGTTGAATAGGCTACTTGGGAGGCCGAAGAAGAAATGAAGAAAAAGTATCCTTATTTATTTGAATAACCATGTAATTATGAGTTGTGCCTTATGAAAATGCTAAGGGATATTCCTATAAAATATGTATGACTTGTACATTTGGTGTTAAGGGTGTTCCATTCTAGTAATATAATTGCTTGTGAGGCTACAGTTGGTGTTATTTTGTATTATGTTACGTTGTTGGATTATGTATATGCTGTTAGGATGCGTTTCTGTGGCTCTCTGACAGGTGGATAGGCGTAATTACAAGGGAAACTCTTGCGAAATTTTTGAAAATTTAGGGAGTTAGTCAAATTTGGGGCTGCTAGTTTGTGGTATAAAACAAACTAAGTTGAATAAGATGCTAATGACAGATTTTACCCTCATTCGATGACGAATGATCCTAAGCGGGGGAGAGTGTAACACCACGGAAAAATTTTGAAGTACTTAAGTGGTAAGCTCGATAAATTTTGCAAAGAAAATAATGTTTCATGGTGTCGAACTAGGCTTACGTGTTTGAGGATTGTAGAAATTCTTCGCGGCTCACAAGCTCGCAGCGGCTCGGACTTTTTTTGGGTTGAACAATGCACCAGAAAAATAAAGAAAAATTTTTGGCGGAAAAATGCATTTCTGCGGTCTATTATGCGACCGCAGAATCACTCTGCGGACTGCATAATGGCCGCAGAGTGAGGCAGTTAATTGGACCAATTGGAAGCAATATGCGGTCGACTATGCGACTGCATAACTGTTATGCGGTGCATTATGCTACCGCATAACGGTTATGCGGACCGCATAGTGACCGCATACACAGACAATTCTTTTGGCTTTTTTGTAACCAACTATGCGACCGATATGCTGTCCGCATATCGGTTATGCAATCGCATATACCTTGTTTCGGAGCTCCATTTTTGAGTTTTTAAAACCCGACCCTATTTCGTTAAATACACTCTTTGGGTCATTTTTGAGCTATTATCTGACATTTTAGAGTGAGAGAGGGTGCCCTAGAGTGAGAAGGTGTTCTCCAATATTTGTCCTTCAAATATTGCCCAAGTTTTGGAAGATTAAGTAGGGAAAACTCACTAGGTCTTCATCCTAGAGGTAAGATTCTACATCCTAACCCTCACTTTCGACTTTTGTGTAGAATTGGATAATTAGCAAGATAGTTTATGGGCAGTAGGGTTGTTTATTTACATGCATGTGATATCAAGGGGTGTAGAAAGATTTTTGAACTAGGCATGGTAAATATTGGGTTGTGGGATGATGGAATTCTCCATAAAAGGGCCTTGAAACCTTAATGCACACCTAGTGTTTGATAAAATGCTCAAATGAGCTAGAACCATAATCATCTTCCTAATTTTGGTTCAATTTGTTATATTTCTAAAATAGATTGAAGTTGCTAAGAATTCCGGAACATTTAGAGTGTAAGGAAGCTCAAGTGAGGTATGTTGGCTAAACTCTTCTTTAAGAATTAGAATTCTCGTTATCCTTGTAAGTTCCGAGATGTTGATTATAAATCGAGTATTCCGATAATTTTTGTGATGAAGATATATGTTCAATTCGTATTTCAAATGCTCTTATCATATTGCATTATAAATTGAGGATATGTCCCAAACTATGGATTACGTATCCACATGTTATAATTTTTAGTCGTGATTTATATGAAAGTTATTATGCCAAGTTGTGTAGAGATTGCGATTGTGATACACCTCCACCCGCATACATTGGGGTGAGGCGGCATGACCGCTTTGTGTAGGGATTATGGTATAGATATTGTGATTGTGACACACCTTCACCCGCATATATATTGGGGTGAGGCGGCATGACCGCTTTGTGTAGGGATTATGATATTGTGGGACTGCACCTCTACCCGCTTACATTGGGGTGAGGCGGTACGACCGCTTTGTGTATGGTTTTGGTATTGCTGTGGCACCACCACCCGCATACATTAGGGTGAGGCGGCATAGCCGCTTTATATTGGTATTGATATCATTGATACATTTTCACCCGTATATATTGGGGTGAGGCGGCATAGCCGCTTTGTGTAGGTTCTTGGTATTGTGGTTATACATCCACCGGCATACATTGAGGTGAGGCGGTAGGGCCGCTTGATTAGAGTTGTGGCATTGTACGTACACCTCCACCTACATACATCGGGTGAGGCGGCGAGGCCGCTTTGTGTGAAGATAGTTATAAAGGATCTCATCTTAAATCCTATAAATGTTATTGATAGCTTTTAATAAGCTTGCTATGGTTGAGACAGTTATCTATATTATTCTATTTCTGCACTAGTTCATCATAATTATCTTGTATTTTTAAATTCTTAAATTGGTGTTTAGTTTTCATTCTAGTACTATTCGACGGTACTAACGTCCCTTTTTTCGGGGGTGCTGCATATTTAAATGGATGCAGGTGGTTCCACAGCAGGAGATATTGATCAGTGATAGCAGTACACCTTCTTCCCTGTTGACTTGGTGAGCCCCACTTCATCCCGGGGTCATGTATCTTTTGTTCTTTATGTATTATGATTGAGGTATAGTCGGGGCCTTGTTTCCGGCATTATCATTGTACTCTTCTTTATCTATAGAGGCTCCGTAGACATAGTGTGGGTTGTGTATTGGTACTGGGAAAGACAAACTATGCTATGTTGTGGTTGCATTACTTGTCCATTTGAGACTTTAAAAATGGTGAAACTTATGGTAAGAAATTGGTAATTGCAAACACGACCACTTTATTGTTTAATTAAGGAAAACATATATTCTCTTTATTCATGAATGAGTTTGGGTAGAAGAAATCTCACAGGCTTGCTCGGTCGAGTTCACTAGGTTGAGCGTCGGTCGCGATCCACGGTTTTGGGGCATGACATTAACCCAGCACGAAGATGAGGTTCGAGAGCTCACCAAGAAGAGGGATACTTATAAGCTTCTGAGTGAGAAGCTTCAGACCGAGTAAGAAGCAGCTCGGAATGAGCATACCGAGTGGGCCGAACAGATAAATTGAGTACTTAAAGATAGTGACGACGAACTTGACTCAGTGGCTAACGATCCGATCCTGCAGGTTCGACAAAGGCTTGAACAAATCAGGCAGCTCCAAGCGCAGGTAGATGCGATACAAACTGAGGCCGAGGAGTTCAAGAAAAACATGGACCTCACAACCTCACAAAAGGAAGCTGTCCAAGCACAACTGGCGTCGGCCGAGGCTCAGCTTCGGGCTGCAAAGGAGAAGACCTCGGTGCAGGCCAAGAGGATTGAGGAGCTTCGATCTGGGCTTAACTCGGCTATTTCTAGCCAAGAGAGCCTGGCCACGGAGCTCGAGGCAGCCAAATCTGATGTGGTCGTGGCCAATACAAAGGCCGATGCTAAAGTGGCCCAATTCAAGGTTGACGTCGAGGCTATTCAGGCATATGCCAATAGCATGGTGGATCATGCAAGGTGGGAAGCTCGAAGGGAATCCATCGAGGGAGTCTATGCTCAGGGCTTTGACATACTGGCGAAAATCGAGAATGCCAAGGTAGAAGAAGCCGGGGCTCGGAAGCTGCCTTTTCCCGAGAAAGGTTCCGAGAGCTTAACTGAATCTGAAGGTCGGGAAGACCCCGATGATGAAGACGCTGCCCCCGATGAGGACCGGGCCACTTAGGAATTTAGATGTTTTTATTGGCCATTGTACATTTCTATATTGGGCCATTTTGGCCTTTGTAAAAAGATTATATATACAAGGCTTTCTTTCCACTTTGGCTTTCAAAATTTTCCTTTGCTTTATTACTTGTATTCATAAGGGCCGAAATGCCTTAACATAAAGTAATTTAGGTTGTGTTCGAAAGTTCAAACAAACCTTGCTTTTGCCCTACTTTATTTTAAGGCATCTTGGGGGTTCAGTGTTACCGGAACATTTTTCCTATGTAGGTAGTCGAGATTGTAGTTTGTCGAGGGTAGATTTTAGAACCCGAGTAATCTATGTGGGCATGGTTCCTTTGACCGTTTAGCCCTTATAATAAATCCTACCTATCAAAACCCTTCCTTTACGNCATTTGGGACAAAACCGGTCTAAGGAAAAAAGAGTGCAACGCGTGCTTTCAGACCTAAAAACTTCGTTTCGCTTCTTGTTGATCACCTGCAAGTGTTAATCGTTAATCTAAAATAAAAAGGAAATGAAATGGGGTCGTACCTTAGCAGTAATATCGTTTTAGGTGGGGATATATTCCAATTGCTCGGTAGTTGTTCTCCGTTCATCATTCCGAGATTATAGGATCCTTTCCCCGTGACCTCGAGAATCTGGTACGGTCATTCCCAGTTCATACCCAATTTCCCTTTGTTCGGATTTCGGGTGTTTATGGTGACTTTCCTTAGGACTAAGTCCCCGACATTAAAGTATCGAAGTTTGGCCCTTCTATTGTAATACCTCTCGATCCATTGTTTTTGGGCAGCCAATCGAACAAGGGCGGCCTCACGCCTTTCATCCAATAGTTCCAAGCTCGTATTCATGGCCTCGTCATTTGACTCTTTTGTTGTATATCAGTATCTGATACTTGGTTCCCCGACTTCAACCTGTATTAAGGCTTCGGCGCCATAAACCAATGAAAATGGAGTAGCCCCGGTACTGAATTTTGCAGCCGTGCGGTATGCCTAAAGGACTTCGAGTAGGATCTCCTTCCATTTCCCTGTGGCGTCGGTTACCCTCTTCTTAAGGTTTTGGATTATAGTTTTTTTGGTCAATTCAGCTTGCCCGTTCCCGCTAGGGTGATAAGGTATCGATAAGATTCTTTTGATCTTAAGATCTTCGAGAAACTTGGTCACTTTGCTGCCGATAAACTGTTTCCCGTTGTCACACACAATTTCGGATGGCATCTCAAACCGACATATGATGTGGTCCCAAATGAAGTCGATGACTTACTTCTCCCTAACCTTCTCGTATGCCTGTGCTTCAACCCACTTAGAAAAATAGTCAGTCATAAATAAGATAAATTGAGCCTTACCTGGTGCCCATGGAAGAGAGCCAATGATGTCCATTTCCCACTTTATGAATGGCCATGGTGACAAGACTGAATGCAGCAGTTCCCCAGTTGGTGAATCATTGGAGCATATCTTTGGCATTTGTCACATTTTCGAACAAACTCCTTCGTATCTTTTTCCATGTCGATCCAGTAATAGCCGGCTCTTATTACCTTTTGAACCAATGATTTGGCGCCTGAATGATTTCCGCAAGTGCCCTCGTGAACTTCCCTCAGAACATACTCGGTATCTCCCGATCCCAGACATATTGCTAGTGGGCCATCGAACATTCTTCTGAACAAGGTTCCGTCTTTGGACAAGGTGAATCAGGCTGTCTTTGTGCGTAGGGCCCTCGATTATTTTGGATCTGAGAGAAGTTTCCCAGTCTTCAAATATTCTACGTATTTATTTCTCCAATCCCAGGTTAAGCTTGTGAAATTTATCTCGGCGTGACCTTCTTCGACTACTGACCTCGTGAGTTGCACAACGGCCCCTGAGTTAAGCTCGTCATCCTCGACCGATGACCTTAAGTTTGTGAGGGCATAGGCCTCACTATTTTGATCTCGAGGCACGTGCTGCAAAGTCCATTCTTTAAACTAATGTAATGTTACTTGTAACTTATCTAGGTACCTTTGCATTCGTTATTCTCTGACTTCGAACGTTCCATTAACCTGATTCACCACAAGGAGGGAGTTACACTTAGCTTCGATCACCTCTCCCCCAAGCTTTTGGCTAGCCCGAGACCTGCAATCATGGCCTCATATTCGGCCTCGTTATTAGTCAACTTCACAGTTTTAATGGATTGTCTAACCATGTTGCACGTGGGTGGCTTCAGTACGATGCCAAGTCGGACCCTTTTGCATTTGATGCATCGTCCGTAAAGAGGGTTCAGATTCCTGAGGATGTTCCCAAGTTTACCAACAACTCTTTTTTGACCTCGGGTATTAGGGCCTGCGTGAAGTCGGCCACATCTGCCAAGATTTGAGACTTAATGGCTGTTCGAGGTCGATATTCGATATCGTACCCGCTGATTTTCACGACCCATTTAGCTAATCATCCCGAGAGTTCGGGTTTATGCATTATTTTTCATAATGGGTAAGTTGTCACAACACATATAGAGTGGCACTGAAAGTATGGTTTCAGTTTTCTAGAGGCGCTTAACAAAGCAAGGGCCAATTTTTCTAGGTGGGGATATCTTGTTTCGGCCTCACCCAAGGTCCGACTAACATAATAAATCGTAAATTGCGTACCTTGTTCTTCCCGAACTAGGACTCCACTTACCGCTATCTCTGATACTGCTAAATATAAGTACAATTGTTTGTCTATACTCGTCGTGTGAAGCAGTGGCGGGCTCGACAAGTATCGCTTAAGTTCTTCCAGGGCTCATTGACATTCCGGAGTCCATGTGAAGTTATTTTTCTTCTTCAGCAATGAGAAAAATCGATGATTCTTATCGGAGGACCTCGAGATGAATCGCCCCAGGGCGGCTATGCGCCCGGTTAGCCTCTGCACGGCCTTCATGTTGTCTACTACCGTGATATCCTCGATAGCTTTGATCTTGTCGGGGTTGATCTCGATTCCTCGATTGGATACCATGAATTTGAGAAATTTACCTGACCCGACTCCGAACGCGCATTTTTCTGGATTCAATTTCATGTTGTACTTCCTCAATATACTGATGTTTCCTACAAATGCTTCAAATGGTCCTCTGCTAGTAGGGACTTAACTAACATGATATCAATATAAACTTCAATACATTTCCCTATTTGTTCTTCGAACATCCGGTTTACTAGGCGTTGGTAAGTGGCACCAATATTTTATAATCCAAATGGCATTATGTTATAGCAGTATGTGCCATACTTAGTGATGAAGGAGGTCTTTTCTTGATCATCTGGGTTCATTTGTATTTGGTTGTACCCGAAATAGGCATCGAGAAAACTGAGGATCTCGTGGCCGGCTGTGGCATCGATCATGCGATCGATGTTAGGCAAAGGAAAAGAGTTCTTGGGGCATGCCTTATTTAAATCTTTGTAATCCACACACATTCTTAGTTTGTTCCCTTTCTTAGGGACTACTACTACGTTTGCTAGCCATTCGGGGTATTTGACTTCCCGGATGGACCCTATTTTAAGGAGTTTAGTTACCTCATCTTTGATGAAGGCATGCTTGATCTCGGACTGGGGTCTCCTTTTCTGCTTCACCGGATGGAATTTCGGGTTCAAGCTCAATTTATGAGTGGTGATCTCTGGTGGGTTTCCTGTCATGTCAAGATGGGACCAAGCAAAATAATCCATGTTAGCTATAAGAAATTGAATGAGTTTTTTCTAAGCTCGGGAGTTAACCCCGTGCCCAGGTATACCTTTTAATCGGGCAGATGTTTGATTGGTATGACCTGCTCCAGCTCTTCGACCGTGATTTGGTAGCGTCGGAATCATCGGAGACTATGAAGGATCGAGAAACCCCATAATCATCGTCTTCGTTAGTCCCCTGCTTATCTAGTTGGGTTGAGGCCGCCATCTGTGATTGCTATTTGGCTTCCTGTTTTGCTTTCGAATTTGGCTCATTTATCGATGAAAGTGTTGATATTGGAATCACTTCATCGACGACAAACATTTCCTTCGCGGCGGGCTGCTCCCCGTAGATTGTTTTAATCCCTTCTGGTGTTGGGAATTTTACCACCTGGTGAAGGGTCGAGGGCACGACCCTCATGTTGTGGATCTACGGTCTCTCGAACAAGGCGTTATATCTCATGTCCCCTTCGATCATATAAAACTTGGTCTCCTGGATGGTCCTGACTACGTTCACTGGTAATGTTATTTCTCCCTTAGAAGTTTCACAAGCCATGTTGAGTCCGTTTAGAACTCGAGTTGTGGGCACGATTTTGTCCTGTAGGCCGAGTTGTTCTACGACCCTCAATCGAATGATGTTGGTCGAACTACCTGGATCAATTAACACACGTTTAACTCGAGTTTTATTCATCAGTATAGATATTACCAGTGCATCGTTATTGGCTGTATGATTCCTTATGCATCCCCGTCGTTGAAAGATAAGGTTCCTTCTGGTATGTAGTCCCGAATTCACTTCTCCCTCGTGATTGACACCTTGGTGCATTTTAACATCGGACCTTGGGGAACATCGACCCCTCCGGTAATTATATGAATGACGTGTTGAGGTTCTTCTTGCTCGTTTTGTTTATTGGAATCCCTGCTTTTGAAATGATTCTTGGCTCGATCACTCAGAAACGCCCATAGATGCCCGTTGTTGAATAACCTGGCTACTTCTTCTCTCAACTATTGACAATCTTCCGTTCTGTGGCCATGGGCTCCATGATATTTGCACATTTGGTTGGGATTTCTCTGGGTCTGGATCGGTTTGTAAAGGTCGAGGCCATTTGGTATCTTTGATGTGTCCGATAGCTGATACGATGAAGGCTGCGTCAACATTAAAGTTATATTCTGATAATTATGGTACCTCTTTAGGTCCGATAGGCCTGTCAAAGTCGTTCTTACTCATAAGCCCTCGAGAGCTCTAGCCTTGATCACTCATCCTTTCATTTCGTACAGGATTTTGCCCAGATCCGCTGCTCCTACGATCTTCATTATACGGCTGGTACCGATCCCTGTTCAACCTCGGTTCTCGGTTAATGTCCCTCTTGATTCTATCAAAGGGCCTAATAGGATAAACGGACCCGGAAGGAACCCCAAATTGGTCATCTTCGACCCTGATCTTTGATTGATACCGATTGTGCACATCGGCCCAAGTAACAATTGGGTATTCTATCAAATTCTGCTTCAATTACTACGAAACCACTGAACTTCGAATATTGAGTCCTTGGGTGAAAGCTTGAACAGCCCAATCATTGGCGACCGGTGGCAGATCCATTCGTTCTATATGGAATCGAGACACGAATTCTCTGAGCATTTCGTTGTCCTTCTGCCTTACCTTAAAAAGGTCCAACTTCCTGGTTTCGACCTTGATGGCCCCAGGGTGTGCCTTTACAAAAGAATCTGCAAGCATAGCAAATAAATCAATAGAGTTCAGTGGTAAACTGTGGTACCATATCATAGCTCCCCTTGACAGGGTTTCCCCAAATTTCTTTAGCAAGACATATTCGATCTCGTCATTCTCTAGATCATTCCCTTTGATAGCATATGTGTAAGAGGTGACATGCTCGTTTGGGTTGGTCGTTCCATTGTATTTAGGAATCTCGGGCATGCAGAACTTCTTGGGAATCGGTTTGGGAGCTGCGCTCGGGGGAAGGGTTTTTGCACAAACTTTTTGGAATTCAAACCCTTCAATATTGTGGTGCCCTCGGGATTTGATCGACCCTGGAATTGTAAGTTTTCACCTTCTTGTCGTTTGCCTCAATCTTCTTTTCCCCCGACTCAACTCGTTTTGTCAATTCTTCGAGCATCTTCATGATTGCAGGATCGGCCCCTGATTCTTTCTCGTTCGATTTTCTTGAAACCGATTCGACCATGTGGACAACTTCCTGGGACGGCTCGGGCTCGATCCTGCTCAGTGGGTGATTCTGGTTTTGGAGCTGGGCTATCGCTGCTTGTTGAGTTTGCAACATTTTGAAGATCACCCGTAGGTTGATCCCGCCCTCTTTTCCGCTATGTGTGCTTTGAGCGGCTGATCGAACATCTCTACGGATGCTGCTCTCGGGATCGACGGCCAAATTTGCATTGATGACTACATGCGAGCTGACGTCGATTGGATCTACAGCCGGAACTCCATCGAGGCCAACTGGAGGTACGTCGTTCCCTGGTGCTATGTTATCATTTTCGTCGTGGTGACCAAAATCATTGTCCACATGTATGGGTGCTGACTGAGAGTTCGACATTTTGATCCTGGAATCAAAGATACTCCAAAGAACCAGTGTAAAATAGTGTGTGTTATGAAAGTTTGTACCAGTTAATCACTATTATCCTTAGCCCCACGGTGGACGCTAAATTGTTTACCCTAAAAATCGGATAACAATTGAATTTATACGCGATTTTAAAGATACGTGATATAACTTGATTCAAATTAAGGAAACGGATTAGAATTGAAATTGACGATAAAAGAATAAATGCAAACCACACAAATCGAACAGCCTTACGTCAAATTGTTTACCAAATCGAACAAGCCCTCGAGTTCGATCACCTTTGAACCAAGAGATGTCTCAACTGATGTATGAACAGAATAACAAGATGATAAAAGCTAGAAAATGATAGTATATTGCTTTTTATGTTGCGTAATGTGATCTGCCTTACAAATGATCATACCCCCTTTATATAGTAGGGGAATCCTACTTTTGATACAATTCTATACAAGGTAAAAAATCTCATGATTTGCTAATCAATCGGCCTATCCTTGATACGTGCGGACATTTTCGCTGTGATCTACAACCGATCGCGGATATTTCATCCTTCTGTTATTCGGCTTGGCAAATTTCTGTCGATCTCGTCTGATCTCGATTTTGTTTGATAACATGGTCTCGAGCTTAACGAAATAACTACGCACCTCGGTTTGATATAATTTGAGATCGAACTTTAACCTACCATATTTCAGTCTCGATTGGTCACACAAGAGGCGAACCCGGTTTTGACCGTATACACAATTCTAGCAGTAATTTGACTGATGAATACAAAGAAATGGCATGTACCTGCCAACAATGTTTTAGAAACAACTCAAACAAATTCATCTATTTGTTTTATGGTTTAATTCTTTTGAATGTCGTCGTTAAATTTTGTCAGCAATATACATCTTTTTCTATTATCTTTTTCCGCTCTTTTTCCCTTTGAACTAATCGCATTGCGCATGTAGGTATGCTAGTTTAACTAAAAAGAAGACAAAGAAAAGAAAGAAAAGTTCCGGATGCACAAATAAAGAAAAAACGGAGTGTAAGAGAAACAGATGAAATCGCCGCGCTGAAGCATTTTCAGTTCGCCATTGGCGCGAGCTTCCTCTTAGACAAAGCTATAAATAAATCACCTCAATTTATCAGCTTATTTGGGCGCCAACCCCTTTCACCATGTTTCGAAGGTAAACCTAAAGCAAATCTGAATTTGTACCGTATCAATATCTACTTTAATATTCATAGGTTTTTTTCATTGATTAGGTTATTAAGAACAGAAATTATACTTATTCATCCGGATTATGGAAATGTATTTTTTGATTGTCCATATTATTATTGATTTTACTAGTTAAAAGACTACTTGTATTAATTTTACCGAACTATTTGAATGAAACGAATTAGGGTTCTGAGATGAATTTTCGTTGCTTGAAATGAGAATAAAGTGGTTGAGCTAATTTCTTCTACTTTACCTTTTTTTAAAGGTCCATCCTGCGACTTTCGGCTGGTCAATCAGTAAAAAGAATTCCGATTGAGGTTACAACATAGGTACTTTTATATTATCTTCTTATTTCATGTAAAATTATATAAAGAATGTTCTCTATTATTTATTTTTCTCTTGTCGGTGCTGGGGAGCCAAATAAAATTTATTAATTGGTGATTAACATATCTATGGCACTTTGGTGTATCACATTATGCAGAAGCTTTGTCTGGTCGTCTTCATTTCATGATTACCATTATGAAAATAAATATTGGGTGGTGTTAATGAAGTAAATTGGTTAGCTTCTATTACCCATTATAGTAATTTTGCGTAGTTTATGAGGATATTGGATTTGCATATAATGAAATAAATAAGTCACTGGTGGCTACACATATAGATGCTGAGTATTTGGCTTTCAGATAAAGGCACGAAGAAAAAGGTTTGGTCCATTCAAGTTTAAAAGAAGGTGGATCACAGGTGATGGTTATCAATCTAGTTGGAAGTATAGATGAAGGATAAGAGGAGATGTTCCAAAAAGGGCGTGGTACTTAAAAGTTTCTTGATTAAGTGAATATGTAAAAGTGTTAGTGATTCTCTTTTCTTTTCTTTTCTTTTCCTTTCCTCCTTAGCACAAGCAATGAGGGATTAGGAAGGGAAATGTGAAGGGAAACGAGGTCTTGGGTGGGTATCACTATCACATTTTCGTTAGTGTAACATAAGTAAAATTGGAAAAGAACATAACCAAAAATTTATTGTATGTTAGCATCGTGCACTAGTTTGTGTTATCTTCTTCTTTGCAAAATTCAATACCCAGGCCATTGTTGGCATAGAGAAGTTATTCTGAAGAGTTGACTAGAGAAGGAAAACATATTTCTTTGGTTAACAAAATAAAATAGCATTCTGAAAGTCAAACAAAAATTCTTTTTTAAAATATAAAAAAAAAGAACCAGCAAAAGACTGTCAACCAAAAAAACTTACTTATACTATAATCCAAATATTTTTGATAGTCATCTTGACGACTATTATGAGCGTTTACCTTTTTCTATTTTCACCTATTTCCCATCTTTGACGTTAATTTACTTTTTTAATAATTTATTTCATTTTTGATAAAGTAAATAATATTATTGATATGAAAAAACTCTCGTGTAAAAGTAGTTTATCAAAAAAAAAAATGAGAGCACACACCAAAGTATAGTTCTATGCAATGACACAATCTTCTCTACAAACAACAACCTCTTAGGTGCACCAAAATCTAACTAAGAATTATTTGCTACTCCTTAAAAAAACAATAAACCTAGTACATTCCCACAGATAGGGTATGTGGAGGGTAGTGTGTACGCAGACCTTACCTCTACTTAGTGAAGGTAGATGGGTTGTTTTCAATACGAAGACCTTACCCCTACTTAGGTGCACCAAAATCTAACTAAGAATTATTGGCTACTCCTTAAAAAAATAACAACAAAAACAACAAACCTAATACATTCCCACAGGTGGGGTCTGGGAAGGGTAGCGTGTACATACCCCTACTTAGTGAAGGTAGAGGGGTTATTTTCAATACGCAGACCTTACCCCTACTTAGTGAAGAAGAAGAAGAAGAAGAAGTAGTAGTACCAAACAGTAACAACAGGGAAATACAATAACTGAAGTGAACTAAACAACATGACGTAATATAGATCTAAGAATATGAAGGTACATAAGCCTAATACATACCCCTACTTAGTGAAGGTAGAGGGGTTATTTTCAATACGCAGACCTTACCCCTACTTAGTGAAGAAGAAGAAGAAGAAGTAGTAGTAGTACCAAACAGTAACAACAGGGAAATACAATAACTGAAGTGAACTAAACAACATGACGTAATATAGATCTAAGAATATGTAGGTACATAAGTGCTACTAATACTATTGGTAAGAAAAAGGGAAACTTTCAACTACCTACTAACCTTCTACCCTAATCTGAAGTGAACTAAACAACATGACGTAATATAGATCTAATAATACGAAGGTACATGAGTGCTACTAATACTACTGGTAAGAAAAAGGGTAACTTTCAACTACCTACTAACCTTCTACCCTAATTCTCAACCTCCACACCCTCCTTTCAAGGGTCGTGAGGTACGATAACTGAAGGGAACTAAATAACATGAAGTAATATAGATCTAAGAATATGAAGATACATGAGTGCTACTAATACTACTGGTAAGAAAAAGGAAAACTTTCAACTACCTACTAACCTTCTACCCTAATTCTCGACCTCCACGCCCTCCTTTCAAGGGCCATGTCCTCAGTAAGCTGAAACAGCGCCATGTCCTACCTAATCACCTCTCCCCAATACGTTTTTGGCCTACCTTAACCTCTTCTCAAACCCGCCATGACCAACCTCTCACGCATCCTAACAATAGCATCAATGTTTCTCCTCTTAACATGCCCGAACCATCTCATCCTAGACTCCCACATCTTGTCTTCCACAGAGGCAACTCCCACTTTGTCTGGAATAACTTTATTCCCAATCTTATCTCTCCTGGTACACCCACTCATCTATCTCAACATCCTCATTTCTGCTACTTTCATCTTCCGAACACAGAAGTTTTTGATTGGCCAACATTCAACCCTATACAACATAGTTGGTCTAACTACCACTCTGTAGAATTTACCCTTAAGTCTTGGTGATACATTCTTATCATATAGAGCACCAAATGCGAGTCTCCATTTCCTCCATCTCATTCCAATACAATGTGTGACATCCTCATCAATCTACTAGTTACCTTGGATTATAGATCCGAGATACTTGAAACTGCCTCTCTTTGGGATAACTTGAGTATCAAGCTTCACATCTAGGTCCGCTTCATGATTCCCGTTACTGAATTTGCACTCCAAGTATTCTGTTTTAGTCTTGCTTAACTTGAAACATTTAGATTCCCAGGTCTATCTCCAAACCTCAAGCCTCGTGGTAACCCTTAAAAAAGAGAAAGCAAAAATATAGAAAGTCATTTTCTATCCCCTCAAAAGTTATGTTATTTTTTCTCTTTCACAGGACCCATATGATAGTTAGGTGGGCGTCATCATATGCTCTAACATCTTCTCTTCCTTCTTTTAAAGGCTCTGCCATGTAGCGCATGCTCTAGTTGGCATAACGTCATTGAATGTACCCTGAACCAATTCAGAACTACCCGCCATAGTCGTGCAGCCACTCGCCAATGTAACAAGAGGTGATCCACATCTTCATTCAAAAGGTTGCGCATGAAGCATTATCCTCATATTCTTCAAGTTTTCAACTGCCGCAACCTTGCCACCAACTCAGCAAAGAAGCCCACTTTCTAGTGGGCNACTGCCGCAACCTTGCCACCAACTCAGCAAAGAAGCCCACTTTCTAGGGGGGCTTTAGAAGTCTAAGTTGATTCATATGGGAATCCCGAGTCCTTCCTCACCAAAAGTATGTGATAGCATGACTATTGTAAACACTTCATAGCTCCTTGCACCCAACTTCCACGAGTCATGTCCATGGAATATGGCGTTCTATTTGTAGAGCTTATTGATCAACCTTTTGAAATTCGTCGCCTTGTTGACCACTTAAAGGTCTGTTACCTCAGGTCCTTCCCTATTTTTGTAGTCGTTAGTCTCCAATTGACCAAGTGATACTTTCCAGTTTCATCTGCTGAATGAGCCTTTCCACCTTTCCCATCATACTAGATCAATACTTTTCCATCATGCTCTTGTTTAATACTTTTTTCTCCCTTTTGACGAGTACCTCATTTGCCACGTTGCTTGTCTCTTCTCAAATTTTTGAATTATCAGGTTCCGCATAGATTGGTCTTTGTTCGAAGAACACAAGGCAGTTTGAAGTAAATGGTCATGAGTGGTCAAGTCCTGCAATCAAACACTCGTGCTTGGTCTTCAATATTGTCCATATCGCTTACTAGTATTATCTCACACTTTTTGCGGCAGGTCTTAAGTCCTGACACTTATGGAACCATACAAGAATCTATCTCAAGGATGTCAACTAGGAAATATCTGCATCGCAGAACACCAATGTGTCATCCATGAATATAGGTGTGTGATTGTCACTCTACGATGTTTTCCCGATAGCAGCAGTGAACCCCTCAAATAACCTCTTGTCACTGCTCTGTGCATCATTTTGCTCAAAGGTTCTATTGTTAAGGTGAACAACATAAGAGATAACGGGTCTCCCTACCACAAGTCCCTCGAGCTTCCAAAGAACCAATATGAGCTTCCATTTACTAAGACGAATTTTATGTTTGTTGAGATACAAGACTTGATCTACTTACTCCATTGACCCATGAATGCATTTCTTCATCACAACAGAAACCAGGAACTGTAATTCACATGATCGTATTCCTTCTCAAGGTCAACTTTGCAATTTGCACAAAATCTTGGGCTTTCCCTCCGTACTCGTTGATCCACTACTGCGTTTGTCACCAAAGTCAAGTCTCAAATCTCTCTTTCCTCTCACAAACATGGGATCTCCGAACTCTTCATAATTCTCCTAGCCATTATGCACGAGATCATAGCTTCCGACTAGCTGACCCATCGGACAAAGCATCTGATTTCTAGGCAATTTCTCAACAAACAAAAAGCCTTTGCTCTTTTGTTTGTGTTTGTGAGATACTCGTAAAATGGGTTGTTTTCCGGTTCCCATTCTTTTGCAGTTTCTTTTCAAACCTAGCATTAGTCATATCAAAGAATCTTTGTATGTATGTTGCTCTAGCTTTTGAGCCTGTAGAGAGACAAACAAGCAGGGCCAATTTGGTACTTTTTGAATCTACTCACTCTAGAGTTGTTGGACACAAGTGTTGTTTAGATGGGTGAGATCTATATAAGGACCTAACCTCATGGTAGGTACCTAGCCATAAAGTTGCTGAAATTCGGCACATGCACTGGTGTGTAAAGCCCTCCCCCGAAAACCTGCTACTCTGAGTTCAGATTTTTAATCTCATGCTGCTTCTTTTAAATGTAAAAGTTCTATTTTATTTTATCATTTTTCATAGTGTTATATGATACAAACTTACTTTTTCTTCTTTTGCCAAATATTTTAAAGCCTTGATGGTATATCCACTTAGTAACTTCTCTCTCCCTTACAGAAGAAAACAAAAAGGAATATTTTTTCCTTTTTTCTTTAGCATAGTGCTCTTTCTGAGTGACGCTTGCTGTTTCCTTTTGCTACATTTTTTACTACTACAGCAGGAGAAGTCTTCCCTTCCCTGCTGCATTCTTTTGTCTTCTGAACTTTCATGCCAAGTCCCAAAAAAACCAGAAGAACCTGATACAATTACTGCCTCTCTGTGTTGGTGAAGAAGAAATCATTAGAAATGGAATGTTACCGAAGGTGATACATTGGTAAAGCAAGGATCTTCATTGCAAAGGAGCTGGATAATTTGGTTTACAGTTTTTAAGTAGTGATGGTTTTCCTTCATTTATATTTATGTGAAGTGTTAGAAGAGCTGTAAACCTGGTTCTCTATATTGTCTATCCAAGATTAGTGTTGTCCTGACACTAGTTGTTTGGAAGACCTAAGCTAATTTGGGACTTCCAAGTTGTATTCCTATTAATTTAATTTAATTTCCAAAATTTAGAACTCATGTAGGACTGTTACTAATGTGAACCTGGAGGAAGTTTCAAATGTGGAACTCCATGGACGTTGTTGTATTACAATTTTTGGTAAAACTTCAATTCCTTTCTGATATATTCTAAGGGAGCATTATATATTAGACATTGAATTTTTCCGATACCAAATCGGTATTTATATGGGTGATAAAACTTGCAACCAGTTTAGATCCGATAAATGTTGTGAAGGTGCCGTGATTTTTGGTTGAGAATGATAATGCAAAGAGAATGAGGAAAGGGCACAGAAAGACAAAATATTCTGGGTAGGGGGCTAGGGGCCAAACTTGACATTACATTGGAGTGGCCTCTGGGTGGAAGACTGACAAGACTTGTGACGTGTCACAGAGTTGAATCATTTGAGAGGTACATGCCTTGTACAAATTACTGGTTTGAAAAGTGTGGTTGGCATAGGATCCAGTAGTATTTAAGCTCTAAAGTTTGATTTGATTCTTGTTACCATCTGCAATATGCATTTACTTCCGTGGTCTCGTAGAAAGGTTAACTGCTACTCTACTAGGACAACTGATTGACTAGCTTGTGTCTAGGCCCTGTTATCTCTCAGTCTGAATATGTCAAACAATAGAATGGTAGGCAATGTCAACCTGGGGTCTAAAGCCTTTAAGGAACCCTGTTGGAGCTGATTCCATACATGTTTTAGGTGAAGATATTTTTCAGTTTCCCATATGATTATCTAGGCTTCAATTTCCTTGGCAATGTAGAATGGAGGCCTTCTCATTGTCAGTACTTGGAAGCTCTAAAAGTCTGCCAACTTGCACATCAAGTATGCGTTGAGTGTCTATGAAGGTCGGGTTTACCTTCTGAGGCTCAAATGCTTGATGTAGACATTATGATTTGCTCAGTCCTGTAGGTACTTATATCTGACTTTAGATATACTAGGTCAAAAATTCCTGCCATGGGGATATGACATTGCTGTGGTCATGAATCCCGCTCTAATTCCCAGGTCACTCTGAGGTGGCAATAGACTCAAGCTTGTCTATATACTAATAAGCTTCTTTGAATGGTAATCACGGTACTCCTGGATCGACCTTTTGATCTCTCAGCATTTTTGACTACTTCACTACAATATAGTTATTCTTGTCCTACCATGGTATATCAGAGTTTGAACCAATTTATGATTCAAGAATTCAAAGCCTTATAATAGATTTCATTGGACCATTATGTAAGATCATTTCTTCGGTAGGACTATTGTCAAAAACTGGGATTTCATGTGGTTTGTTATCAAATTTAAAGCTTAAGATTTTCCCTAATGTTTGAGAAAGAAGATGTGCAATAAAAAAATCCTACAATTTGACCAATTAAGATTAAATTGGCTAATCCCCTACACAGTTGATATTTTTCGGCAAGTTCAATGGATCTTTTTCTGGTTCCTAATTTCCTAACCTGGTTGAATCATCACTCTTAAACAAATATACATGATTGTGATCGAGGAGGTTTGGTCATTGTTCAAATTATCCCAGTTTTCTATTTGCACCTCTTTTGATCATTTAATTAGCGTGTCAACAGTCGACTTGTTCCTCAAGAATTGAAACTTGAATTGTGTGGTTTCTGCTGGAAAGTATCTGAATTTGTTTCTTTGTTCTTTTGCTCCTTGTGCCTAAAGTATTTTCTTAGATGCTCCCAACCCCCCCCCCCCCCCCCCCGGTGGGGGAGGGGGCAGATTTTTTCTTTATTGGAATTTGTAGCTCTTACATTGAAGTCTGCAGTTCTTTTCTTTGCTGTTACAATTTGTTGTTGTTACTTCTACAGTGAGCAAAACCTCGATGGTTCTATCTCTAATTACTTCTCATTTTAACAGTTTGATACATTAAAGGGGACACTTCGTCACTTTAGCCTGATTCCTCCAGGTGGTGGTGGGATATTGACATATTCTTTGGCTAGTGTAGCATCATGGGAAACTATCAGAAGCTGCTGATGCACTTGAGAAGGATTTAAAGGGCACTCAAGCGGGAGGAGTTGTTGATGATTTGGTTAAGCGTGCTAGGAATAGAGCTATAATCGAGCAAGCACTAACCTTACTGCAATCTTATGACACCACTAATACTATCAGCATAACTTGAAACCATTATCATTATAGCATCAAGGTTCAGTTTATCTGCTGCCTACAAAGTTGCTCGAGAATGGCTTTTTGATGATTAACATGTTGAAATTTTCAGTGATTGCGGCACTTTTATTTTTGTTGCAATCCAAGTAAAGTAGTTATGCCTTTCTTGATCCGGAAATAATCTACGTTGAAAGATATATCACTATTGAGCAGCATTATTGATATATTTAGCAGGAGTAACCATTGGATTTTTCTTTTTTTGATGAACTATCTTATTAGCTGTTACCTTGTTTGGTATGTATAATAAAGGCAGCTCAGTCAACTGTATAACTTCTTTGGTAGTTTTCCGTGGGAGTTGGATTTGAAAGAGCTCAGCCAAGCATTGCAAGGTTTCTCTTCTGTTCGAGGATAAGTGGACATAATTCAACTTGAAACAAGAAAGATTGAAATTTCTCAAGAAACATCGATTATGTATATTCTAACAATTCTAGTTTAATTCATTTTGAAATACTAGTAAGGGTTTGAAGTGTCATTTATATTCAGAAGTTCTAAAACATCGGCTTAGAAAGCAAAAGTTTTTTTGTGAAATTGTAACTTTAATGGGATTACATGTTTAATAAATTACTAGACTTCATTTTAATTGTTTTAGTACATGTTTGATCGCTAAACCTTTTCGAAACTAAACCTGAATTTTTGACTATCTTCTTTCAGACTTGTAGATAATAAGCTTTTGCAGTTCAGTCTGAACTCCAGAGATTTTTTTTATTGCTTTTAGATTTTGACGTTGTATGTGTTTTTCTCCAGTTAATATAGCTGTTGAAATCAACAATTAAAAAAAAAGAAAAGAAGACCAGAACGAATATAAGAATTTTAAATTGGGAATTCCATTAAGTATGTCATACCAAATATGATACCCCCAATAGAATTGCTTAAGGAGGCTCATCTAATTCCAGTGCGAAATAATTTCCAACTTATATAGATAATGTACCTCTAACTGACAACTCCATTAATAAAAGAGTGATACCATAAGTCAAGACACATTACTCATTTAGGTTCACCTAACTCTATTCAGAAATAGTCCAGCTTAAATAGAACGTGTACTTTCAAGTGATAACTGCAATGAATGCATAATTAGTTTACTAAAAAGTTGTACCTTCAAGTGATAGCTATGTTTAGGAACAGAAAAGTGCTGATAGGTCTCTTTTTCTTAGCAAAATATATATAGATATATGCTATCATGAAAATGAAGACGAAGATTAGTAAGGAGAACAAGACATAAACAAAAGAAAAGGTTGTCAAACGATAAGGTAATGGACACACACACACATATATATATATATATATATATATATAGTGTGTGTGTGTGTGTGTTAAGAAAGTTCCTACACCAAATTTTAAAAATTACCTATTGTAATTGATTGAAAGCTCATGTTTAGAAAAAGTGAAAAACAAAGTTTTTTTTTTTTTTTTTTTTTTTGTGGGGTGGGGGGTTTGAGGGTTAGGGTTGAGGAGCAGTGGGTGGGGGAGAGAGGAAGAAATGGACGCAAATGGAAAAAGATATACCTTACCGGTTTACCCTATGGAGATACTAATCCTTTCCTAATTCAATTTCGTGCACCCAAAATTAGAATAACAAAAAGAGCTAGATTTCATTGTCATCCCTCTAGGATATTTTTATACTAACTAATTGATTATTCTCCTCCTTTTTGTCAAATTGCTTCCTAACTTTAAATAAATTTCGTTCAAGACATTTACAAACCAANATATATATATATAAAGTCCTGTGGTTGTTAGCTTTGATTATCGATTAGGTTAAGTTGGATAGTCATTTCAAGCCACAAAGACTAGCTAACTAATTCTTATAAATAAGTTGGTTTGATGTCTCTTTTTTTTTTCTTTTTCTGATTATGTGAAATATTAAAAAGAATGAAAACAGATTATGTATTATCAGTTTGTTTAGTTATCTAATATGATGGCTACATACAAACTTTCCCTTAAACTAAAATATCCATTTTTAACAAGGAATTGTCTTTATTTTTATGTTGATGGGCTTTTAATTTATATATATAATTAACTTACTTATTTTATAATAATAAGACTATAAGTTTCTTTACCACTTTACTAATAATCTGAAATCCAAATTGCAAAAGTTGAAGAGTTAGTAGCAATGGATTATGTTACATCTAATCTCCCGTTTGACCATAGATTTTGGCTTCTTCTTTTTTGTGTGTGAAAATAGAGTTTGTTCATGGAATATGATCAATTTTTGGAAAAAAAATTTAAGTTCCCAAAAACTAGTTTAGGGTAGTTTTTCCACCGACAAAACTTCAACTTTTTTTTCCAAATAAAATGCATGTCCAAATACAACTACAACTTTACAAAATTATTTTTTAAAATAACTTAAAAAATTCTTTTTTCAAGTTTCAACTAAATTTGTGTCCAAAAGTTACTAATATTCTAGTAGTCCTACGTCAAATAGTCTTTTTTATTAAGAAGTGATTCAAGAGAACATTCCCTAGAATAGAAAGAAATAAACAAATCGGGTTAAAAGTAGATTGTTCCCCTTGTAGCATGTTGAAATATTGGCGTTTGGTCAGTTTTTCCAAGAAAACACTCACTAGCATTTATAATAGTAATAACACTTTCCGAAAACAATTTGTATTTGGATAAATTCTTAAATGTAAAATAGTTAGCTTTGTGTCTGTATACGGTTAAAATCGGACTCACCCGATTTTACTACTTGATCGAGACCCGGAGGTTGTATCAAAGGATGACCTCGTAACGGAACAGACTAAATCACGACGATAAGGTACCGAGTTTAGAATCGAGGTACTTGTCAAGATCGAGACTAGTAGCGATCGAAGCCAAATGAGACAGACATCGAGCAAGATCGAAGATAACACAATAACAGAAAGGCGAGATATCCGTGATTGGCCAAGGATCGTGGCGTAAATCTCGGAACGGATCAAATCAGAAATGATTAATTAGCTAATCATGAAATTTTCTTCTATAATTAGAATTATACCATAAATGCAATTCCTCTACTATTTAAAAGGGGATTCTAATCATTTGTAACACACATTGTTCACATATATCAAAGCAATATAATTATCTTTCTCGTTTATACTATTGTTTATCAACTTGTTATATTTTAATTGTTCTTACCTTACATTAACCACTTCGAGCGTATCCAAACTCGAGGGTTGAGTTCCATTCTAACACTGGCTTGCTTTACTTTATAGTTCATTTCTGTTATTAATCTTCATATTTATCAATTGGTATTAAGTGAAATCACGTGTCCTTAGAACCACATTATAAGTTTAATTGTTATCCATTTTTAAGGGTAAACAGTTTGACGCCCACCGTGGGGCCAAGGATAATAGCGATTGCTTAATACTGATTCCGATAACACACACTGCTTTACACGTGTTCTCGTAAAAAAAAAATTCCAGGATAAACATGTCAAACTCACAAACAGCACATACACATGGTGACAACGGCCTCAGACTTCACGGGAAAAATGACAATATAGCCGCCCCAGGGATCGAGGCGCCTCAGGCTGACCTCGAGGGAGCACCAATTGCAAATCTCGTCGATATCAGTTCACATGTCGCCCTAAATGCAAATTTGGGCGTTGATCCCGAAGGTAGCATACGCAGGGAAGTTCGATTATGTGGTCGAGGTACGCAGGGCGGATAAGATGATGGAGTTAGCCTCCAATTGATATTCGAAATGTTACAGGCTCAACAAGCAGCTATAGCACAACTACAAAATCAGCACCGAACACCGAGTAGGATCGAACCAGAAGTCGTCCACAGGACCGAGCTTGTGCCGGAAAAGTCGAACGCCAACGAATCGGGGACTGACCCCGCCATTATGAAAATGCTCAAGGAGCTCACTAAACGGATTGAATCGGGAGAAAAGAAAATCGAGGCAAATGACAAGAAAGTAGAGACATACAACTCTCTGGTTGACCAAATACCGGGGCACCGCCGATTCTAAAAGGTATGGATTCAAAGAAATTCGTACAGAGGCCTTTCCCTCTAAGTGCGGCTCCGAAACCCATTCCGAAGAAATTCTGAATACCAGAAATTCCTAAGTACAATGGGACCACCGACCCTAATGAGCATGTCACTTCTTATACATGCGCAATAAAAGGGAATGACTTGGAAGACGATGAGATTGAATCTGTTCTACTGAAGAAATTTGGAGAAACCTTGTCGAAAGGAGCAATGATATGGTAACACAATTTGCTGCCTAATTCTATCGATTCCTTCGCCATGCTTGCAGACTCCTTCGTAAAGGTACATGCCGAAGTAATAAAGGTTGCGACTAGGAAGTCGGAGCTCTTCAAGGTGAAACAAAAAGACAACGAAATGTTGTGGGAATTCGTATCTCGGTTCCAGATGAAACGCATGGAACTACCACCGATCACAAACGATTGGGTTGTTCAAGCCTTTGCTCAAGGTTTAAATGAACGAAGTTTGGTGGCATCACGACAGCTAAAGCAGAATTTAATTGAATATCGAGCGGTAACCTGGGCCGATGTACATAATCGGTACCAGTCAAAGATCAGGGTCAAGGATGATCAATTGCGGACTCCTTCTGGTTCCGTTTATCCAAACATGCCCATCGACATAACTCAAAGGGATATCGACAGAGAACCCCGGTCGAACAGAGATCGGTACCAACTATACAACGCAGATCGTAGGAACAGCGGCCTAAGACGCAATCCCATCCGAAATGATCAAAAGAACGATCGAGGATAGATCTCTCGAGGGCTCATGAGCAAAAGTGGCTTCGATAAATATGCTGATCCCACAGAAGCACCACGATTATCAGAATACAACTTTAGCATCGACGCATCACATATTATGTCAGCCATTGGGATAATCAAAGATACTAGATGGCCCAAACCCCTACAAACCGATTTATCCCAAAGAAACCCCAATCAAATATGCAAATACCATGGTACACATAGCCATAGAACCGAAGACTGCAGACAACTAAGGGAGGAGGTGTCCCGTCTATTCAATGAGGGTCACCTTCGAGAATTCTTGAGCGGCCGAGCTAAGAACCATTTCAGAGACAAAGATGCAAACAAGAAAAACGAGCGGGAAGAACCATAGCACGTGATCACTTGATCGTTGGTAGGGTCGATATTCCCCAAGGGCCCGTGTTCAAACGCACTAAAGTATCAATCACCAGGGAAAAATGAACTCGAGACTCTGTGCCAGAAGGCAATTTATCATTCAATGATGAAGAAGCAGAAGGGATCTCACAGTCCCACAATGATGCTTTGGTAATCATTATCCTTACGAATAAAATTCAGGTTAAACGTGTTTTAATTGATCCAGGAAGCTCGGCCAATATTATTCAATCGAGGGTCGTGGAGCAGCTCGGCCTACAAGATCAGATCGTACCCGCAGCTCGGATTCTCAATGGCTTCAACATGGCGAGTGAAACGACTAAAGGTGAAATCATCCTACCAATAAATATAGCCGGAACAATTCAAGAATTAAAGTTCCATGTGATC